ATTGACCGAGTTTTTATAATTGACCGAGTTTTGGTGATTGACCGAGTTTTTGTAATTGACCGAGTTTTGGTGATTGACAGAGCTATTGTGAAACGACCGAATTTTCGCAATTGACTATTTTTATTAGAATTGATTGACAAAAAACATATGAAACGTGCTTGTGTACTGCAATGCACTGATAAGTTTACACATTCAAACGAAGTAACGCAATTGACAAACAAATATTCAATTACATCGAAATGACAATTTTGAACCATTCCGCGCGCCATAGGTACCAGCAAGCTTTGTGAACTTTATTTACATTTTATAATAACATTGACAAAACTGTCTGATCTGGGATTTCTCTAGTGTGCTTTAATAATTACTGATGATGTAATACAATTAAAAAGTCATTAGAAATTATACATGTAAGTTTTGCAGTATTATGGCTCTCTGTGATCCATGTTCTCTGCCAGAACATTGTATAATATGATAATGGATGTGGTTTTCCAATTCATTTTAACTGTCATCTTGAGCAGTGTTATCAACATACACAGATGTCGGATACTGTGGAATTCCGCTTCAAATGTAAAATATGTATTTTTTCTAAATAATTGATTTTGATTCCTTTTGTTTTTCTCTCTTTTTTGTTACATGAAATTGTTTACGTCTGTGGGAAGTAGTTCATGACCTAGATTATCAATTATAAAGTGCTAAAAACATTGTAAAATCTGAATCCCATCAATAAACTCCCATCAGTTTTATCAGAGATATGATGCTGAACACCTATGGGGCTGATCTAATTTATTAACAGGTCATCAGCTGGCTGGATAATGTGTATAGCAGAGACTGTAGAAAAGAAAAACTGCTTTAACTAAGAGGATATTCCTTGTGGTGCTCCATTGGTCTTTCTTTGGACACACAGACAGGCAATGATCCATAATAACAGAATTTGTAGCTTGAGTGGAAGGATCGTGAAAATATGACATCCTTTTGTGTGTGGATGCCTTTGTTTGAGGTGTGTCCAGGAACTGGAACAGAAATAGGAAATCCATAAAATGGCGTTGGTTGATTCTAGTCATGTCACTGTAAACCAATTTTTCTTGATCAAAGTCCATGTTTTCACTAGCAAAAAAAGTGACCAAAAAAGAAAGCAAAAGAAAAAAATTGAAAAGCTTGGATGGCTTCTTCCTCCAACGATTTTCTTCTTGATTGCCGTCCTCATATTCCTTTCCCTCGAACTTCTCTCACATAATTCTGCTTTCTTATCTACTTTTCACATTTTGTTTCATCATTATAAACTTCTAAGCTCAATAACGGATCCCTACGACCTCATTTACAGTTAACGACTGCTCTGTAGGCATCTTGAAGGACAGCACATTAATAAAAAGAGATACTATCAGTATCTTTATCCTTTTTAATGGATTTTAATTGCTTGATACTATCAAGGAACTATTTTCTCGCACTAATTTGTCTGTCGGTGGAGAATGGATGAGAATAATGGGTTTCATCATCTCCGATGAGGATAATATTGTCCGCACATTCCTCAGCCTTTGTTTTTGACAGCCAGTTGTCTCCACACAGTTAAGGGTTCACCTTCGCGTTATTCATAACAGACCTCACATGAAATCAAATTAATTAACTGTCACAGACATAAATGGACGAGTATGCTTAAAGCTGGCCTAGGCAGTGATATAAAATACTGCCGATATGTCAGTAGTTAATTACATGCCAAATAAGTTATAAAAACTTCATTAAATGAACCAGCCCTACATAGTTACGTTAATCAGGCGTTTGATACAGATTCAATCAGGTCTCAAGTTGTTCACAGTTGAATAACCATTGTACCTACCTTTTTTGACGTCGAGCGAGGAGAATGACGAAAACTGACCAGGCAACAAAATTTATTTTGTTTTTGCTGTTATTTTATGTAGCTTTTGCACAGGAAAAGGGTAAGTGTTAGATCAAATTCATCGCAGATTTTCGTAAGGTTTATAACAAGATTGACGTCAAAAATAAATTTTCAAATTAATACATGTGAAACGTTTTTCCGGTTAGTTACTTTAATATAGTACGTTGCATGAGCATTATCATGTTGAAATTGATGCCAAATTTAAAGGGATTGCCTTCTACTATGGCTATGGCTAAACGGCGAACATATATGCAGAACTTACGTAGCATTTATAAAAAGAAGGCCCATCCTATCTTGTCTCATCTTGCTTTGACATAGTACAATACGAAATTACACGCTATTACGTACTTATCAAAGCTCGCGAAACAGACTTTTTGTTACTGTAGACTCTCGCGTTATTCCGACACTACAACTGTTTAAGCATGTTGGGTTAGAATCTTCGAAGTAGCAAAACTAGCTAGTCAAGTATTATACTTGGACCAGCTACGAGAAGTGTCGTGTACGGGAAAAAGAGTTGCAAGCATTTAAAAGGACATTTTGTGTTTGTTTTCAAATGCGCAAGAGAATGCATTGCTACGTACTAATATCTTCTTCGAGAAAAAGGAAGCGTGGAATAAAGAAAAACCTAAATAGAAAAACAGGAGAATATGGAAAACTTCTTCTAAAATCGCGGGAGACTTAAAATACGTCGAGATGCATTACAGGAATTTCTTTTACGTTAAGCAATTCTCCCCCGTTATTCCCACCTCCCTCCAGTTTCTTTTATTTATATTATATCAATTGGCCTTAGAATGCTATCTGTAGCAACTTAGATACAAAAAGCTGTGCCATATAATATAGTCTTGAGAACAGACGTTATATAGTTCCTGCGGCCGAGACAAATCCGTGGGCAGACACTTGCGTCTTAGCCTTAGCTTTGGACTTATTTGATGCGTCTTTCGGTCGGTGCGACGAGCTCGAGGCGGAAATAGTTCAGGATAAATTAAAAGTAATTTGATTTAGAGTATCTTATGATGATGATGGATAAAACAGTTGCAGTGAGAGCTCGAGATTGCTTTGGAACGACCACGATATAACACCTTGTACTCACCCCTGTGACGTCGTTGTATGGACACACACACACACACAAAAAACAAAAAACAAAAACAAACAAACAAACAAAAAAGAAAACGAACAGCAAAAAAACAAAAAAAAAACACCGCATTTTCTTCTGTGCTTTTAACAGGCAACCCAGTAACCAAGTGTGAAACTTGCTAAAAGAGCTTTTCTTTCTATTTGTTCAGACTGTAAAGATGTATTGGCTGTATGTAAACACTTTCTACGTCTGAGAGAAGGACTTGGACTGACTAAGACACAAGCGTGCTCAGAAGTTTGGCCAAGACGGTATTGCAAGGAGACATGTGGGCTATGCAGTAAGTCACGTGATACTGTGACGTAATCAATTGTATGCAAGCAAACCTTATACTTGGTGTATTGTCAGAAGCTAGTATTCCACTACGCGTCTTGCTACTACTTCTCTTTTGTACTGCCAGCCCCGGCGTGTTTTAAAAGTTTCGCACTATCACGTGCCAACGCTCATACTACAGCTTGGGCTGCCTGTTAGATGGCAGAACTATAAAATCCCTTTGCTCTTGAGAATTGAATTCTATCTCATGTAAAACGATTGTATTGTTCCTGCCACCTAACATGGCTGCCGTCACGTGATGGTGCAAACCTCTATTTCCTATTTCTTCAATGTGTAGCTGGCACAAACTGACTCAGTTAGCCCTCAAGCATTATTTTCTTTCTAGAAAAGGTTACGAAATGCGACAATACTCAATATGGCTGTTGCTGGGACAACGTTACTCCTCGAAGCAAGACAGGAGAATGTCCAGGTCAGAAATGTGACACGCATCTTCAGTTGAGTTCAGTTAGCTTAGTAGAGGTCCGTGACTTTTCCCTTCCATCAAGAGAATTAAACCAAAACACGTTGTCACCATATTAATTGACCAAAAAAAAACCAGGTGTCAATCAGTTGTCCTATCTTTCATTAATGTAATTGCTAAGTTTCTCAGAGTGTTTGAGTTACTACTGAAAGATTTTAATTAACTTTTATAGTGATACTGGAAACGTGTCTTAAATCTTATCACCGATGCGGTAATTTACTTTGAGGCATTCCAGTTTCCTGTTACGGACACGACAGAACACCGATAAAAGTACGAGAAATAACGATGATGAACAGAATGCAAAATCCACTCAAAAGAAATACTTGGAATAAACAGAAAAAAATTGAAGTAAAAGTATTTTTAAAAACGATCGAATTTTATTCAATGAGAGCTTGATGAAATATGATACTATTGTTTTAAAGCAAACATTGATACACGTCTTAACGGGTCATTTTGATTATCTTTTTTTAATTTTATTTTAAGTTCTTTACATATTTTACGAGCACATTTTCTTCGATTCTTATCAGTCTTATCTTTAATGACATTAAAACATGCATAATGTAACGAAGGTATATTGTTTTTCTTGGCTTCGCGCTCCCTCATCGAATTGATGGCTTTTCTCTTTCAGTTTCTCGCGAACTACGTTTTTAGTTGCGCAGCGCACTGATTCTAAAAAATAGCTTAAAGATTCGGACAAACCTTGCATTCTGTTTAACCGCTACGAGGATTATACGAACCGATTTTATTATTTTTTCTTAAAGATACAATAATATCGCATGCAAATCATGTGCTAAATCTAGCTGTATATATTTTTTCAAACACAGTATGCAAAGACATTTACAAGTCATTTTGCCCTCGCTTCAAGTCAGTGTGTAGCAGATGGGCAAGTACGAGGGATGCTCTCGGTGCTCGTTTCAGAAGATCCTGTCCAGTCACTTGTAACCGATGTACAAAAGGTCAAACCCTCTTCAAGAGGAAAAAATTTCGTTGTAAAGGTTCTAGATTATCTCGAGGACTATAGTCAAGATGCGTGACGTTCAAGTTCTAGATTATCAGTTTATTCAGAGTTCAGTCAGTCAATGATTTCACAATTCCACGYTRCAGGATTAATTTCACGAGTTCAGGTTTTCACGATTTCAGGTTTTCACGATTTCAGGTTTTCACGATTCGCTAGAATGACAATTGCAAAACCTTATATGAGAATATATTCTGTCCAAGAAAAACGGAATCAATATACTTACACATATGTGCTGTCCTGAAGATAAAATCATTCGAATTCCGTATTCATTTTTTAAGAACAACAACTTGTCTACTCTTCCCTATATCAACTCTGCCCCATTCCCACGAGCTCCTTTTCTCTCTTCCACAGGGAACCCGCTTCTATCATGCATAAGCTATAACATTCGTCTTCTTTAGAAACGTGGTTGTGCCTTATTGGATGGATATTAGAAGATTTCCTATTGATGTGAGGTTAACGTGCGAGAATGCGACTATAGATTCCACACTGACCATAATACCAATCAAAGAGCAAGAATTGTAATATTTGATAAGCTATCATGTAGTAATCCGTGAATTACCGCTTAAAGTAAACTACAAAATATGAAAAGAAAAAAAAAGGATTTTGCCAGTAGCATAATATTGAGTGATGTTTTGAGGTTAAAACACAAGAAAATATCTTTTAGTTAAGGACATATTATTAGGTTTTGGTTGAGAAAAAACTTGGTCGAGCTGGCCTTACATGCAGTGCATAGATATTTCAAAGAAGACGTCTAATTCGTCCCTGAAAAGAGCCCAGAAAAGCATTGCAATGTCAACTCGACCTCGTAATGGCTTATAAAACAGGGGCGAAGTGCGAAATCCAATAGCTTTGTGTTTTGACAAACGTCTTCTCTCTCTTCCTCTCTTGGGTACTAGTCCCATTCGGTCGACGCTCAGCTAACACAAGAAGCCCAGTATAGGAAGAGAGAAAAGAGACGGCTGCGGAGGAAGCTGGGTAAAGAGGTGTATTTGTGTCGGACCATGTAAAAGCTACGGTTTTTTTAAATAAGAACAGAGAAAATACTCGATGAATATTTTTCTTGGTGTGTTATATCTTATAAAGATGAAAATTAAAAATACTAAAAAAATTACCCAAACATTTGGGTGACTGCGCCCTTAATCTATTTATAGGGGGAGAGGGTGAGGACGAGGTGTTCAAAAGTACGATGGAGGTCCCATGGTGTGGTTAACCCCATACCTGAAGGACAGATATCCTCCTAACACAAATACTGCTGCACTACCAACCAAGAACGCTGGCACAGTAGGCAGGCATCGCTGAGCCATAGTCACGTGGCGTGGAGTAAGTACATCCTTTACGTCACGCACGTCTTCTTCAGCTATCTTTCTCAATTTAGAAAGTATCTCTCTTGCAGCTCGTTCGCCTGCTCGGACTGCACCATCCATGTAACCTATATTGATTGGAGTAAATCACATGAATCTTAGTCCAATCTGTAAAAACATTTTACTTTATGCATGGGTTTCCTGTAGTGTTTTATTAGAAACAGGAAGCCCAATGATCTTAAATTTTTCTCAATTGAACGCAAATATTTAAAGTTAAGGCTATCTACGAACCTGCTGATATTGTTGCTGTTTCAGTGCCTGCAAAATGAAGTCTCCCTATTGGGCATCTTAATGCTTTACCATATTTAGTCATTACCCCACACGGCATGATACCAACATAACAACCACCCGAGTATTCATCACCAAGCCAGTCTTTGTCAACATAGTGGACTGGATTGAGAGCCTCTTTACAGCCGAACACCTTGGCATGCTGTTCACATACGGCTTGCTTTCGTTCTTTTTGTGTCTTGTTGCAAAAGTAGCGAGCTTGATCTCCAGTGATAATGCTAAAATATCCCAACCCATCCCCCCCAAAAGAAGAGAAGTTAACAGAGTAAAAAATGTTGAAGACATCCGTTTAGGGTGGGGCAGGCCCTTTTAAAAGATATAGGGAAAAAGGCCTAAATATAGACTTAAATAAATACTCGGCCAGTAATGAAGCTCGGATATTTCTCAGCCAATCAGAGTGCCAAACAATGTAACAGTCAACCATTGCGCGCGGAATCATTTTTTTTATCCAATCAGAATGCAGAACAATAAGAATAATGTTAACCTTAAGCTCTCCGTGTAGGGTTGCTCCGACTTTTATGTTAATTCTATTGTTCTCGATTCTCATATTTATAGCTCACCGCTAATTAGTCTTACATCCACTGATGATGGCAGAGGTCACTGCCGAAACATGTATTTAAACTCAAAAGTGTAGTTCTGTTCTTAAAATAAGAATAATGTAATACTATATCTTACCCCATTATGACTGGAAGATTGGCTCCTGGTTTAGTGTCATCCATACTTGTGTGAATTGGCCCAAAATCGGACAAAATCACACCATTCAAGCCTTTCGATTTCCAAAAAGCTGTTTCATAAAATGCAAATGTCTTGATCGATGATCCCATAGGAAATCGTTGAATGAGTTGATTCTTCAAAGGAGAGAGGGGCGGTACAAAGGAGACCTTATTGAGCAAGGCCTGGGGAATAGCGCTGATGACGTATTTTGATTGATAGCTGTTTCTATTTTTACATGTTACTATCACGTGGTCCTTTTCTTGGTTAACTTGCAGCACCGGACTGTTTACAATAACCTATCAAGAAGAGAATGAGATGACATTAGTACGTACTCTAGATCGATTTAGTGTTCCTAAAAGTTTGAAATAGAGTACCTAAGTGTGACCAAATTTTCTAAATTTGAAAATTGTAGAAGCTGCTATAGAAATGGAGATTTTGGGCACTCGAGCTTCAAATATGTCTATTGTGCACTGATTTCAATCACTTTAGGTTACCTATATCTCATCTGTTTTTCGCTCTGAAATTTCACTCATCATATAATTATGCAGTTCTCATGTTTCTGATAGCGCAGAACGAGCATAAAGACAGCCGTTCCCATCCCAACTAGCCGAGCCACAGCTGGTGAGGCTATGTTTATTCTATTGCCACTACTTCCGCCTAAATGTCGAAAACCGTTATTTCCCCTCCAAGAAATTGCGTGATTTATGCGAATGATTTCAAGTAGTCTAGACTAATTCATTGTCAGATTTCGTGGATCTGATAGGCTGTTTTTATCAAGGTGGTCAACTGACCTGCAACTAACAAAACGAAAGCCAAAACGTTGCTTCTGATCTGCGATTCGTAAGGCGGTCCAAGATATTGGCGCCAAAAAAAATCATAAAAATCAACATGAACTGAATCTCATTTTCAATGCACTCATTATAGCTTGGGATCAAGGGTTGTGTAGCTCCCCTGTCACTTTTGGGATATCGGGTTTGATTCCCGGACTTGGAGTCCTGAAGTAGGGCTTTCCTTTGTTTCTCCAGTTTTGAATTCTCCATAACCTAATCTGTTAAATTCCAATTAGTTTTTGGAGTTAGCTGTGCCCTGACTTTGATTAGCCCAGGTTGAGGTCGACATGTGTTTACCTTATCTCCAAGTCTTTTCTTCAGTTTGTTGCTAATCTGTTGAGCTCCACCAACGAACTGTTTCTCCTCTTCCGCATCATCAGCACTAGAATGTTTTAGAACCCCATTTCCAGACTTACGGTACCAGAGATAATGCAAGAGAGAAATTTCCCAAAGTTCAACTGCCATGGCATGATGTGTATTCTGTACCATACGTTTCTTACAGTAGCTTGTCCAGCAAACCTTGTTGAAAAACTCTTCGGCAGTCATGTGATCCCATTCTATTGCCTGAGGAGCTTCCCAAGGTTGTTCAAGAGGGATAGTATCACACATCTTATCGAGAGTATATGCCACATTCAAGTAATCAATGATTGCAAGGGGATTCCACGTTGAGAAAGAGCCATCGTGCTCGTGAGCCTTAGCGTATAAGTGATCTATAGTTTTGCCTTTACATTGCACTGGATACGTCTCTACTCCTAGTTCTTCAGCAACATGAAGAATCCTGTGTTGGTCTGGACCGACGTATGATCCACCTAAGTCGATATACTTGAATGCTGGATCTTCTATGGTCTGTGTCCTACCACCAACGCGATCACGAGCTTCAAGGACGAGAACGTCGAGTCCGTACTCCGTCAGAAGTTTTGCAGAGCAAAGACCACTTATTCCACCGCCGACAACAACATCTACGATTAACTTAGCCATGTTTGTAAGATAAAGCTCGTTAGGACGGAATACGTACACCTTTGTCTCTTATGGAGACGAAGGTGGAAGTAAAGCTTGAAGTGTGACGTCAACAGCATGAAAAACGACTCCTGGGTCGACGTCTAAAACGAAAAGCAGTTCTATAAACATTTTTCTTACTTTTTCTCCATACTTTTTCGCCTCAGGTGGAGCTTAAATCATCGAAACAGTCAGTTTTCGTTTTATTTTAGCGGTTTTTGTGAATATCTGTCCCTGAAAACTTAAAACCTCTATAGTCACGCAAGGGTCAGTTCGCCTGACTGTTCACTATTAAAAATCTACGTTTCGTCTACCTGTGGAAAAAATTAATTGAGAAAGGATTGGATACCATGGATCTTCTATAGATTTAATATTTCCCCCTGTTTTGGGTTTAAGGGACCAGTCATTATTTAAGTCGGAGTGGGGAGGGGTTGGGGGGAGGGGGGGATTAGGGGCCCTCATTTTTTTTTAGTGGAGCATGGGGGGCCTTGAAGGTCAAAAGGAGGATTGCGAGGATTTCTTAAACGATTGAAGGGGGTACCCGATGTGACGCTGAAAAGTATTTCATAAAAACGATTCGGATGAGGCGCATGCGTGGTACTAAAAATGCCGGGTTTGAGCGGTTTCCGCAATTCGCCTTTTAATTCCATCATTACAAGGACAAGGGTTAAGGAGAAAAACCTTCGAATCTCATGTGATACCGAAGTAAACATGAGATCCCAACTGCTACATCCTTGATTCCCATACTTAATCAGAAATAATGTATTCAGAAGAAAAACTGTTAAGAGCCATCTTAAAGAATGAATCTTCTATAAACTACTTGGCAACTAAGCCATTCTAAGGAAGTTCCCGCTGAAAGAATCTGTTCTACTGCAGTCTTACGAAAAAAGAACGGACAGACAGACAGACAGACATATTTAAGAGCATCTTCCACAGGTCACTGGGCAAGCCATTCTAAGGAAGCCCCCGCTAAAAGTGTCGGGTCTTGTGCAGTAGACTAGTGCGAAAACAGACAGACAGACATATATATTTAAGAAGAGCATCTTCCACAAGTCACTGGGCAAGCCATTCTAAGGAAGCCCCCGCTAAAAGTATCGGGTTTACTGCAGTAGTATGCAAACTCCCGACATGTGTGTGCAAACTCCCGACATGTGTGTGCAAACTTGTCTCTACATTCTGAAAAAGATAAAGAAAAACATCATCAACATCCGCTTTTAAAATTACCAAAAATAACTTATTTTGTGACTACTCAGTACCTATCAGCACTATTTCATCTACAGCCAGAGATATATTTTTCTCTCATAAAACAAAAGCAAAGAGCAGGCCAAAAATTTTCAAATTATCCAATCTTCAAATTTTAGTTATCGATACCCTGAAACAACGTTTGGGCTAATCTAAGTCGTTGCACGACTAACAAAAAGCTTCAAGCTTGTTAGGTTTTTGGAGGGAGGAAAACCTGAGAACCCGAAGAAAAACCCTTCTAAACACAGGAAAGAACTATGAATTTCTTCTTGGTCAGGCAATTTTTCAATTCTCTCAAGTGCTGCGAGTTTAACCAATCTTATAGATTTCTGTAAAAGAATTGTAAAATCCCCAAACTTCTCCAAAAGCGCGATAATAAAGTCAAGAAGCACCTGATTTACTTAAAGTGGAGAAGAAATTACTTTATATATGTGCAGGGAGTATAGTTGACTTTTTAAAAAAAATTTGCTGTTCGGTTCAGTGGTCGTTATTGTAACAGCCAATATGGCGGCCAAGTTTTTTTACTTTTTCCCAGTCATTGAAACGAATGCGCAACAAAAATAAAATAGAATAAAATGAAATAAAATAAATAGATAAATAAATAAATATAAATAAATAAAGCAGAAAGCAGCACAAAAACCTAAACCCCTGATAAAGGATTGTATTATGTCTGGTCGACGTTTTGTTGAGTCTCGTAAACCTTATAATAAACACTATCGTGAGAATTCTTACTAGGGCACGTATATCCATGACGGTCATCTCTGGGTGTCAATCCGTCCCAACAGCATCCCCATTGAGAAAAGCGACAGTCAATAGGATACATCTGACCTGCACCAGCCAGGAGAACAAAAAACAAAAAGAAAGAGCCATTAAAGATAATAACAATCTCGGTCAGTGGTGTAGCAAGGGGACTGAAGCCATTTATTTCCTTGTGCTGTACCGTTTTCCCGCCAATAAACACGCGTACGCGTTTCCGAGATTCCCGCCATATCCTACGCAGACGTTTTTTGTGTCTGTCACGCAAAATGAAAGGCACTAAAAACGTCTGCGTAGAAGGCTAGGGGGCGACTGCCTCCACAAAACGTTTTGCAGAACCTGTGGATATGGCGTAAAACACTAAAGATGAAACGCGTACGCGTGTTTATTGGCGGGAAAACGGTACAGCATAAGGAAATGGCTTCAGTCCAATTAGGAGTTTTTCTTTTTATAACGCGCTTACAAGGAACGTGCGCAAGAAATGCTTACGCGAGCAGCTGTACAAAATCTATAACGAAGAATAATTTTTACTCACGGCAAAATCCACATGTTTTAAGGCATTTCGTTGTCACTAGTTTTCTAAGGGATGGGTTGGTAGTCCTGCAAACGAGGGGCCCAAGATAAACCTTAAGCCTCTTGCAATAGTGAGGCAAAATATCTGAACAACCTGTTGATGGAAAGACAAAGAATGCATGCAATTTTAGGAATACTTTTATTCAGGCTTTTTACTCTTAATTTCTGCGCAGACGAGTATCATGATCCCCTCTCCAATTTACTAAACTCGCACGATAAATTTAAATTGCTGCAAATCAAAATATTTAGAAACTTATAGCAAATTCATGGAACACTGAGACGCCTAAAAAATTCTTATGACGTTACACGAGTAAACTTTTTAAGCGCATTTTTATAATTTTTATAGAAAATGCGCTATACGAGTATTAAATCATAAAATATTACTTCAAAAGTCATTTTCGTAAAGCTACAGACACACGGTGCAGCATTGAGCGCAATGTTGCATGTAATTGATGTTTCGAACCACGTCACAAGACGCAATTTGTTGCACGCAACGTTGCTGAAGTAGAAAACGATCTTACTTCAGACATACATTGTTGCAGCGCGTGTCCGCGTCGCAAATATATATTAAAATTAACTTGCAGCACAAATCATTTTCGATTTGATTATGGCTTTTAATGTATCTTCCCATCAATTTATTTCTTAGTAACTAACCATAGCTTTAATCTCAGAATACTTAGAGCACAAAGAAAAAAGTTTGAAGTTCCTTACCTCGTTCTGTTTGTACAATTCGCAGTCCATGACAAACAAGCGACCAAAAAATGAGATGATTCTGAAAACTAGCTGCCATTTTTATCAAGATGTTTTTTTAAGATAGTTTTGCAAAGTGAAGAGACCAAACTGAATCGTTTTGTTAATTTTGGGTCAGTATGCAATGCAACTCGACCGGTATTATCTGTAGTTTATAAAACACGCAGAAGTACACTGTATTCAGTGGATTCATAGGAGACATTAGCTTAAGCGAGAGCGAGCAGCTTTGGCCATCCTTATGAAGGATTGAATAGGGCATGTTGGAATTGAAAGAATTTGAAGTACGTACTGTTAAGATTTTGTAAATATTGACAATATGGTATCAAACTATGCTGTAGATATGAAAAACTGCGAACAACAATCTGACATGTCTTCCTAGGTATTAACCAAGTATCTGCTTCGTAAACACAAGACAATCGTCATCATCAAGATATCAAAAGTGGAGCAGATCCTAAAATCCACAATGAGTTCAGTTCGCTTATACAACGTAAATCGTTTTGCTAAATGAGCGTTGACTGTTTTTTTCTAAAATAGATAGATAAACGTTTTAGAATGTATTTGAAGTGCAAGTCAGCATTTTTCTCTAAAGGAATTTTAATTTTACCTAGTTAAATCTCTTTGATCATTGATATCAAGGGACCTTGAACGATGGACTACTTAACGAACACTATTTATCCGTGCAAACATGTAAACCAAGGAAACGATACACAGGAAAAAGTGTTTCCATAATGATGCTGCCATGGAAACAGTCCAAGGAAACGGTCCTCTGGCAAGAGTGTTTCCATAATGATGCTGCCATGGAAACAGTCCANTCCAAGGAAACGGTCCTCTGGCAAGAGTGTTTCCATAATGATGCTGCCATGGAAACAGTCCAAGGAAACGGTCCTCTGGCAAGAGTGTTTCCATAGTGATGCTGCCATGGAAACAGTTCAAGAAAACGGTCCTCTGGCAAGAGAGTTTCCATAGTGATGCTGCCGTGGAAACAGTCAAAGGAAACGATACCTAGGAAAGAGTGTTTCCATAGTGATGCTGCCATGGAAACAGTCCAAGGAAACGATACACAGGAAAGAGTGTTTCCATGGCAATGCTGCCATAGAAACAGTCCAAGGAAACGATACGCAGGCAAGAGTGTTTTCATAGTGATGCTGTCATGGGAGCCGTCCAAGGATACCGTCCAAGGAATCAATACCAAGGCAAATGTTTCCATGGTGATGCTGCCATAGAAACATTTTAAGGTAACGCTGGTCATGCCTTTTTCCTCATCATTATGCGTAGCTCCTTCAAGGAGTATGGTTTGGGATTGTTTCCATAGTGATGTTGCCATGGAATCAACCCACCAGAGACTAATAACACACCATGCCCCATACGCTGTCAGTCTTTGAAGGAATGATGTTTCTATAGCGATGTTGTCATGGAAATAACCGCCAACAGATAGATACAACCAGATACGTCGTCCCATAATTGGTCGCGGTCAATGGGCTCTTTACGAAGCTCAATGGGCTCTTTCTTAAAAAACGGTAAACTAACTTAATGTTACCAACCGTCTTTCAGTTAAGACTAAGGAACTACAAGCCATCCTTAATCTAGTGATTGCCATGGCTTATCCTGCTCCTGGACTGTTCAAAAACCCAACCAGACCTAAACACAGAAAAAGGTTCATCAGCAAAGATTTTTTATAAGAAAGGGGGAGATGATTTTAAAAAATCACGTCTAATTTTCCTTATTTGCCTTCTACTTTTAAATTAATGAACAATATTTATGGAGGATTGCATGAGGGTTCACGTGTCTTAAAGGTACTTCTCGCACGATACCCTCGTGTTGTTGGCTAGCATTCTGATCGATCGAGTAGGACTTTTGGACATGTACATGCATGCCCTCTTAGTTATAACTTTTCCATACTAAGATGAAGCTCTAGTGGTGTGTGTGTGTGTAGAGGAGGAGGTGGTGTACTGAGGTTTCATCAACAGATATGATAATTTCCGTAGTCTGACGTGTTTGTCATTTTCGTTTTGCCTTCATTAAAATCTTCTAAACCCGTTGAATACCTTATTTCTTAGCTTTTGGCTTTTGTGTTTTGGTGGGTGGAGCTCTACCACAGGTAACCCACCAGTCCCATTCCGCGAAGACAGAGGAAATTAGAGGAGTTCTCAGGTCAACCTTAGATGAAGTCCAACTGACTAACTCTCCATTGAAATCATAAAAGATTTGGAGGTCAACGGCTAGATAGTCCTGTTGGCAATCAAACAATTAGGATGATTGAGAATTTGTTTCTGGGTAAAAAGGGGCTATAAGAGGTTAAATGAGATAAAGGGACTAAAAGGAGCTAAAGGGGCTTAAGAGGCTAGAGGGGCTAAAAGGGGCTAAGAGGGGCTAAAAGGGGCTAGGGGGGCTTAAGAGGCTAGAGGGACTTAAGAGGCTAGAGGGGCTAAAAGGGGCTTAAGATGCTAGAGGAGCTAAAAGAGGCTTAAGAGGCTGAAGGAGCTAAAGGGGCTTAACAGGCTAAAGGGACTAGAGGGGCTAAAGGAACTAGAGGCTAAAGGGTCTAAAGGCAAAAAGGGGCTAAAGGAAAAAAGGGGCTAAAAGGGAAAAGTAGATAAGAAAGCTAAGCATGGCAGGGATGGTGAGGGGAGGGAAGGAACAGGAAGGGGGTAGATGGTAAAGGTGGTAAGTAAGTGGGAAAGCAAGCAAGAAGGAAAAGGAAGCCAGTGGGATCACAAACTAAGGGAAACAAGAAGAAGCATCAACCAAAAGAGAAAACTGCGAGTATAAGAAATAAATAATGCAGGGAAAGTTTGAGGTATTGGAAGAAGAGGAAAAGGCATTGAAGAAATGATAGAGCAATACTTGGAGTACTAAAAACGTACGTTTAGCTTTTGCAAAGCAGATATTTGAACAACTTGTTTGAGCTGTTCACCAGGCTTGACTTCATCTCCTGATATCATGGTGATATCTGAACAAACTGGCTGAAAAACGCAACACAAATAAAGGAGTTAAAAATGACATAATAATTTATTTGAAATCTCAGGCTGATTTTACACTGTGGTACTGGATGGACTTTTAACCAGTCAAAACATCGTACATTTAGGGGTTCCCTTCACACGGGACTGAGCTTCTTAACAAAAATTTATACACCTAGCCATACGTAAATGTATGATGCAAGTAACTTGAGAGTAGCTTAAAATTCAAATCTAACGTAATGCGTTTACATTAATCTGCTATCGAGTTACTGGTAGTGCGAATACTGGAAATTCGACGTATTATTAGCGTCTTGTTTTAAATCTTAAAACAGGAAATCCAGAGTACTTTATTAATTTATTTGTTTCTGTACAGCAGGGCTCCCTGTGTCCTCATTGCAGAATGTGAGGGATAAAGTGGAGAACCAGTACTAATATACAAAGTCGTAAAGTAATAAATTAAATTATTTGCTTACTGAATCCACAATGAGTTCCACCACACAGTCTTTCATTGGAAGAGATGTTTTGTTACATAATGTCAGCAATACCTCCATTACATTGGAGAACTTCGCAATAAATTGAACCTTTAGATGTAGGTCCTCATTTTCCAGGATCACAAAAGGATCTGGCAGGGCTAAAATGAGAAAAAAGATATTTTTTGTTTCATAAAAAATTAACCATGTGAATGCAACTAAAGCTGCACCACCTTCAATTCCATCTTAAAGACTAAGCATCACTTCCTTGAGAATAATAGTATTGAGAATAACAGTATTCTCAAGAGTGACACATGTTCTGAAATGGGAAAACAATGCTTCCAATCTAAAAAGTCCCATCAAGAAATGTGACTATCTTACTATAGGGTTTCTTTTTAATTTTGGCTTGCAAAAACTCTGTCTGCTAGCTACCATGTGAAGACTATACTTACTGTGAGCCTTTTGCCATAGTTGCATCCTCTCATGATAATCTACATCCTGTAAGACTCCTGGGATAATTGGATCAGTAAGTCTGCAATCGATGTAAGCATCACTTTCATGGCATGGTCTTTGGTGAATGCTGTTGTCAGTGCAATAACTGATGGTAAGGGCAACATCTGAAATGTAAAAAAATATTTACATGGTGTAAATCAATAGGTCATTTAATTTTCTGATGGAAATACAAAAAACTGTTTGAAAATGAACACCCTACAGTTTTATATCAACACTTTACTGTCATCCTACAAACAACCTAATGAGAACCTATCAACACACTACTGACACCCTATCAACATACACTGAACAACCTACCAACGCCTTACTGACACCCTACCAACCTACTGACATTCTACCAATATCTTACTGACATCCTACCAACAACCTATTGACATCCTACCAACACCCTACTGACATCCTACCAATACCTTACTGACACCCTACCAACCTACTGACATCCTACCAACAACCTACTGACATCCTACCAACAACCTACTGACAT